CCCTTGACTTGGTGGTGTCAGCACCACGCTCACCCAGTGAGCGAACCGGCCATCCCTATATAGGATCCGAAACCATGGCCTTGGTGCTATCAGCACCGCACTCTCCCGAGTGAGCCACGGGCCGTCCCTAGGATAGCTTTAATCTTCTACAATATACTTAAAAAAATTTTTTTTTGTTTTGAAATAACTTTAGGCCTTCAAAAAAGTTGCAAAATAGTAGAGTTCATGTTTGCCCTTCACTGAACTTTCCTTAATGTTAACCACTTACAGAACTATATAATATAATGACCAAAACCAGGAAATGAATGGTAGTTTATTAACTAAATTATAGACCTTATTTGAACTTTGCTAGTTTTTCCCCTAGTGACCTCTTCCTGTTCCAGGATACAATCCAGGATCCCACAGTGCGTTTAGTTGTCATATGTCTCCTTAGTCTCCTCTGACCTATGACAGTTCCTCAGTCTTTCATTGTCTTGCATGATCTTGACACTTTTGATGAGTACTGGCCAGTCATTTTGTAGAATGTCTCACAATTTGGGTTTGTCTGATGTTTTTTCATGATTAAATTGAGGTCATGCATTTTTTGGCACAAATACCACAAAAGGGATGTCATGTCCTTTTCAGTACATCGTATCAGGGGTACATGATGTTGTATTTATCAGTGGTGATGTTCATTTTTATCACTTGGTTAAAGTTTGTCTACTGGGTTTCTCTACTTTATCCTCTTCTTAAATTGTGTTGAAAAACTTTAAATTATTAAGATAATAAATGCTCCTAAAAAGTTCAAAGTATAAAGTAACTAAACTTCCCACTAAACCCACCTCACATTCCCAGAGGCTACTAACTATACCGTCAACTGTATAACGTGTATCCTTCTAGATCTTTTTCAATGTATACACACACATGTAAAGGGGTCATACCAAACATTTTCTGTAACTTTTTCGTTTTTTTTTTTTTTCCTGTCTTTTTTTTTTTTTACTGACCGGTAACGGGATCGCAACCCTCGGTGTTGCACCCACACTGCGCTCAGCCAGTGAGCAGGAACCGGTCTCCACATGGGATCCGAACCCTCAGTGGGAGCGCCGCCACACTCCCAAGCGGCGCACTCTCCAGTGCGCCATCGGGCCGGCCCACTTTTCCGTTTGATTTTGTTTTTACTTAACAATATTCTCCAGGCACTGCTTTCCCTGTCAGTACAATCAGAGCTAACTCATTCTTTCTGATGACTGGCTAGTATTTCACTCTCTGGGTAATCCTAATATTACTCTTCTCTGTACTTTCCAATCTTTTCATGAGTACATAAATTATTTCTTAATATAAAATACTTTACCATCAACATTTTTACTTTAAATTCTATCAATAGAAATATATTCAAATTTTATCAGAAAAATTACAAATTTTACAATATGAATTTTATATATTTTATCACTAGAAATAGATTTTCTAAGATCTTAAGTCAAAATAAGCCAAAGAAGAAAAAGTTATATTTAAAAATGGAATAAAAGAAAAGAAACCGAACTACTGTTTTTTTTTTTTTTTTTTTTTTTTTAAAAGATGACCGGTAAGGGGATCTTAACCCTTGACTTGGTGTTGTCAGCACCACGCTCACCCAGTGAGCAAACCAGCCATCCCTATATGGGATCCGAACCCGTGGCCTTGGTGTCATCAGCACCGCACTCTCCCGAGTGAGCCACGGGCCGGCCCAGAAACCGAACTACTGTTGATTTCATTGAATCTCCAATGCTATTCATTGTAAAAACACGTCATTATTTCAGGTAGAAAGAAAACACTGCCAATTAATTGGAAGATGCCACCAATCTTAGAGTTTTAAAAATGTACAAAATGGGAGTGTCTCAGTCCATTAGTGCTGCTATAACAAATTTCCTGAGACTGGATAATTTATAAAGAACAGAAATTTATTTCTCACAGTTCTGAGCCTGGAAGTTCAAGATCAGGACCCCTGCAGATTCGGTGCCTGGTGAAGCCCGGTATATGCTTCCAAGATGGTGCCTTGAACGATCTGTCCTCACATGGTGGAAGGATGGAAAGGCAAAAAGGGGAAGAGAGAGTGCTCCCTTCAACCTCACATCCTTTTATAAGTGTGCTAATCCCATGCTGCCCTCATGACTTAATCCCCTCCCAAAGTCCACACCTCTTAATACTGTTTTTCAAAATATGAATTTTGGAGGGACACCATTATTCAAAACTTATCAGGGAATCCTGGAATTGGTTAAATAGCAGAGTCCCTTCTCCGCCCTTTATTAAACAAAATTACTGTGTGTTCTTCCAGGTACAGCCAGGACCCTATGACCAGCTGTCCCTTCCAGCCCACAACGATGGAGCCAAGTGATTCTTCCTATGTGGACTCTGTGTTCCGATACACTCTCTTCCCAATTGTTTACAGCATCATCTTTGTGCTGGGGGTCATTGCCAATGGCTATGTGCTGTGGGTCTTTGTCCACCTGTACCCTTCTAAGAAACTCAACGAGATAAAGATCTTTATGGTGAACCTCACCATGGCGGACCTGCTCTTCCTGATCACTCTGCCGCTGTGGATCATCTACTACTACAACCAGGGCAACTGGATTCTTCCCAAATTCCTATGCAATCTGGCTGGTTGCCTCTTCTTCATCAACACCTACTGCTCCGTGGCCTTCCTGGGCGTCATCACTTATAACCGCTTCCAGGCAGTAACTCGGCCCATCAAGACTGCTCAGGCCACCACCCGCAAGCGTGGCATCTGTTTGTCCCTGGTCATCTGGGTGGCCATTGTGGCTGCTGCATCCTACTTCCTCATCATGGACTCCACCAACACAGTGCCCAACAAGGCTGGCTCAAGCAACATCACCCGCTGCTTTGAACATTATGAGAAGGGCAGCGTGCCGGTCCTCATCATCCATATCTTCATTGTGTTTAGCTTCTTCCTCGTCTTTCTCATCATCCTCTTCTGCAACCTGGTCATCATCCGCACGCTGCTCATGCAGCCGGCGCGGCAGCCCCGCAATGCTGAAGTCAAGCGCCGGGCACTGTGGATGGTCTGCACGGTCTTGGCGGTATTTGTCATCTGCTTTGTGCCCCACCACATGGTGCAGCTGCCCTGGACCCTGGCCGAGCTGGGCTACCAGAACAGCAACTTCCACCAGGCTATTAACGATGCTCATCAGATCACCCTCTGCCTCCTTAGCACCAATTGTGTCTTGGACCCCGTCATCTACTGTTTCCTCACCAAAAAGTTCCGCAAGCACCTCACTGAAAAGTTCTACAGCTTGCGCAGCAGCCGGAAATGCTCCCGGGCCACCACGGAGACGGGAACTGAAGTGGTCGTGCAACTCAACCAGATCCCTGCCAATTCTCTCAAAGATTGATCCCTCTTGTTGGGGCTAGTCTTCTCCGCCATGGACACCATGGACTGAGCTGGGGAAGAAGGGATCTGCTGTGGCCTGGGCACCTCCTCCTTGGACACTGGTGGCCCATGAGGGATGGAGACTACCTCACCCAGGCAGGGATGATGGCTGAGCTGGACTGCGAGAAAATCCAGAGCTTCACTGAGCCCCTTCAGCCACCTTTGGACATGTACTGTAGTAACCTTGGCTGGTGACCTCATCCTGAGCCCCTGAGTCTGAAGGGGCTGAGAGGAATATCAGGGTCAAGTGCAGACTTTGGGGGCAGACTTTGAGCCTCCCAGTTTACACCACTTGTGTACCAGCCTAAAGCTTTGGGCAACCACTCCCAAGTGCTAAGGACAGAGAATGGGTTTGGGAAAAGGACGCTCCCCTGGCTGTGTGGCAGTATCTTTGGGGCAGACTTCTGAGACAGAATGTTGCCACCCACAGGCACGAAGTCTTTGTGACACTTTTCAGGGGAAGTTCAGTGGAACCAGCAATCTGACCTGAATGGTGACCATAAAAGATACATGAACAGAGCAAAAGCTAGGATGGGAGCTTGTTTCCTGGGGCAGATGGGTCTCTCTGCACAGCCTCACCTCAGGCCTGGGTCAGCTCTGGGGGAGTGGGAGGGAGATGACCACCCCATTCATCTTTCTGTCTCAACAACAGACCCTGATTAAGTACCTTCTGTGGGGCAGCCACCCAGTGTGGGTGGGCAAAGGCCCCTCAAAGCAAAATTGGGGCCATCTAGGACAGGGCACCTCCATGTCCAGAGGCTTCTGTGGGAACAGGCACATGGGCTGGGAAGGGCCTGAGGCCTCTTGGTGGAAGGAGCCTGTCAGTTCTCTTCCACCTCACTCTCTGGGAGGCCCCTCTTAGCCTAGCTTCTGGAAAGTGGGAGGTGTCAGCTTGTCTTGAGGACCTCTAGATGCCTGCTTGTGATTTTTTGGCAAGTATGTTCAAATGAGCCTCCCTTCTCACCCTGTGACAAGTACCTGCAGCCTCAGACTCAGGGCCTTGGAGGAGCCTGGTTTTCAGAGTCCTGTGCTCTTTCTGAGAAACTTGCCTTCCTTCTAGCCAGTTTCCACATGAAGTTGAGGTTCTTGTTTCCTGTCTATGGGGCAAGCTCTGGATTGCTGATTTTGATAAATGCTTCCCAGTGGGCCAGTAACCTGCTTGGGTCTGGGATGGCAGCTGTGGGCAGGACTTAGCTGATGGCAACCAAGTGGCTAGTGCGGCATACTTAAGTTTTTCTGTCACACAGACCCAGGTTCAAGTCCTGGCTTTGTCATTTCCTGCTGAGGGATGAGGAGCCAAATTTTCTACCTCTTAGGGTTGTTACCTGTGAGGTAAAACCTACCTGGTAGCATTGTTATGAACAGTGAATGCTGAGGCAGGTACCTCTTGGTCAGGGTGACTGCTCATCCCAGACCCTCCCCTTTTCTGAGGATTTGACCCCTTCCAGCCCCTGATAGGAGCTGGAAGGACTAGAGGTGGGCATCTAGAGTCAGAGATGCTGTTTCAGGCTTTGCAAGTCACTTACCTGAAGACATATAAACTCTGGAGCTGTGAATGTGCCTACGTGTATTTTTGTCTATGTGTGTGATGGAGGGGGTGGCTGCTGCATGAATATAGTAGAGAAAATGGCTCTTTTCAGAGAGAAGATAGAAGTGCAGAGCAAAGCAGAGACCAGAGAGAAACCACAGGAGCTTGGAGGGAAGAGGGAACAATGCTTCCAGGGGCCTGCCAGCCTTCTTCCTCCAGGCCCAGCCCTTCCTGAGGCCCGAGAGCTGCACTCCTTCCTTCGGGTCCTGTGAGATTCCCTTGTCAGGATATAGTCTCTCATTTTGTTTAAGCTGATTTGAGTTGCTGTCTATTACTTGCAACCAAAAGAGCTCTGAATGAGTTAAATGCTTTGATGTTAACGCACAGTGTTTCCTGAATTTCAGTCATTTTTGGACCTCCCTGGCAATTTTTGTACTATCCATGTACCACTTTATGTATGTTTACTTAATAAATATTTTTCTTTAAATTGAATCACTTTTTAAAACTTACATTTACTTAAAAGGACACTTTATAACATAATTATAAATGAAAACCAACGTTACCTGCCACAAATAGAAGGTAAACATAAACATAAAAACATAACTATTAAAAATATTTCTCTAGGCTGGCCAGTAGCTCAGTTGGTTGGAGCACAGTGTTATAACACCAAGATCAAGGGTTCAGATCCCTGTTAGGATCCCTTTACTGGCCAGTGGCCAAAAATTAATAAATAAAAAATAATAAAAGACATAAAAATGTTTCTCTGTATCCTGTCTAACGTCACCTCATATGCCCTGGTGACTTGCATAGCACACTTCAGGAAACCCTGCTGTGGTGTGCATAAAGAGTACAGGGTCTACATTCAGTAAATGCTCAATAAAGAGTAACTCTGACAGTTCTGAGATGATGGTTTGTGATTACCCCCCTACTTCTCCCAGGATATTGCCCCAACACACAGGCCAGGCTCTCCTACCCAGAGCTCAGGGGGGTGGGAGGAGTATGTTTGGTTGTAGCCCTGCTCCAGCCCTGCTGATCTCCTCACTGCCCTCCCCCCACACACCCACCTTTCCTCCCCCTGTAACTTCTGTCTGGTTGTGACCTCAGAACTCCTCCCACATGCAGCCTTCCTAAATTCCTCCAGGCAGCATTTTAGGACTGGGTGGGTCCAACTTTTTATACCTTAATTTCTATGATTTCAATGTCTGTCTGTCCTATCCTGGCAGCAGAAACTGAATCTTAATCATCTGAGTATTCAGTTTCTCACGCACAGCCTGGAATTGAGATCTGCCTGTCTCCAAAGTAGAGGATTCCCCAGGGTGTAGCTGCTTTGTTTGCACCAAAACTCATGTTGAAATTTAATTGCCATTGTGACAGTTTTAAGAGGAGAGACATGAGGCTGGCCTGTGGCTCACTTGGGAGAGTGTGGTGCTGATAACACTAAGGCCATGGGTTCGGATCACTATGTATATAGGGATGGCCAGCTAGCTCACATGGGAGAGCGTGGTGCTGACAACACCAAATCAAGGGTTAAGATCCCCTTAGCAGTCATATTTAAAAAAAAAAAAAAGAAGGTGTGACGTGTAAGAGATGATTAGGTCAGGAGCAATTTGCCTTCATGAATGGATTAATGCTGTTATTACAGGAGTAGCCTCCTGATAAAGGGATGAAGTTCAGCACCGATTTTCTCTTTGTCTTGCATACTCAGTGGTTCTTCTGCTTTCCACTGTGGGATTATCCTTGCCAAATGCCAGCACCATGCTCTTGGACTTCCCAGCCTCCAGAATCATGAGCCAAATAAAATCCATTGTTTTTGAATTACCCAGTCTGTGGTATTCTGTTATAGCAGCAGGAAGAAGACTAAGACGATAAGATAAACATATTGACATATATATGCAATTGCTTTGGAAGGGTTTAAGGAGACTATAAGGACAGATGGGGAAGAAATTTAATACATGTTCTTCTAAAGTTCTATGTCCATATTTTAAAGGAAGAGGTAGGGGATTTTCAGAGGATCAGAACATTTTGGAGCTGGCAGGATCCAACCCCTTCATCTTATTAAGGGGAACATGAGGCTCCGAGTCACCAAGTGATTGCAGAAGTTGCACAGCATAGAACAGCAGTGAACACAGGGCTGCCTGTTTGCCTGTGTATCTCCATTCTTGCAAGCTTGGCACGAATTATGGAAAAAGCTGAGTTGTAATTCTTTTTTTTTTTTTTTTCCTTTTTGTCTTTTTTCGTGTCCGGCAACGGATTGCAACCCTCAGTGTCGCGCCTGCACCGGACCGGGACCGGCAACGGGACCGCAACCCTCGGTGTTGCTCCCACGCCTCACTCAGCCAGTGAGCGGGAACCAGTCCGTATGTGGGATCCGAACCCTCGGCGGGAGCGCCTGCCGCGCTTCCCAAGCGGCGCACTATAGCAGTGCGTCACCGGGCCGGCCCTGAGTTGTAATTCTTTTGATGAAATATCATTGATTAGGATTTCCAAGGTATCCTGCCCATCAGGAAGTTCTCACCTTGCATTTCCTCCTGATCTCAGCCTTCTCCCTGGGGAACCACCAGTGATCTCAGTTGGAGAACATTGGCTCACACAAGACCTTGACTCATTGAGATGAGTCATAGACCCAAGAGTGGGATGTAGGTCACAGATGACTTGACAAGACATGTTTATGCCTGTTTTTACTCATCTGTGTTACATCTGTTGTCAAGACCTAAAGTCACAAAGAGATATAATAAAACCCTTTTGTAAAGCACCGGTTTTTATGTAGACTTGGTATTTCTATGGAACAAATCATGTTCCCTTTAACATCCTGCCAGCATGCTATCCTCACCCCTACCCATCCGCCTATCCATTCATCTGCCATAGCTTGCATGTCCCCCAAAACTCATATTGAAGCTTGATTGTAACAGTGTTAACAGGGAGGGAAGTCCAACTACGGTATCTGAAAGGTGGGGCCTTTGGGAGATGATTGGATCATGAGGACTCTGCCCTCATGAATGGATTAATCCATTCATGGATTAATGGGCTAAAGGATAAATGGGTTATCACAGGAGTGGCACTGGTGGCTTTATAAGGAGAGCAAGTAAGCACATTGGCATGCTCTCTCAGACCTCTTGCCAGAGTACCCCGCACCAACTTGGGATTCTGCAGAGAGTCCCCCCACACCAAGGAGGCCCTAACCAGATGTGCCCCTCGACCTTGGACTTCCCAGCCTCCAAAACCATAAGAAACAAATTTTGTGTGAGGGAAACTTTACATCATTTACTCCTCCTAAGTACCTGTGGGTAGAACTGACTCTCCCTCTTCCTGAATTCCTTTTTCGCCAGATATCTACATGGCTCACTCCCTTGCCTCCTTCAAGACTTTGCTCAAACGTCCCCTTCTCAGTGTGGCCTGCCTTGACCATCTCATTTAAAACATAGACTTAGAGAGTGAAGTGATTCCACAAGGTCGCACAGTGAGTGGCTGGCATAACTGGTCTGTGTGGCTCCAAAGCCCAGGCAGTCTCCATTTCACCACACTGCCCACCTCTGTAGACATCCCTCGTGACACTGAATGTGAAGATCCCTACCTTCCATCTTCCAGACAAGAAAGATAAGGATGGGAGACTTGGAGCTGACACTGAGACACTTGAATTAACATTAGCAGAAGAAAAATGGGGGAGCCGTGGAATATTAAGGATAAATTCAGGAAGGCCCAAGACCATGGAAAACTTGCCTGCTCTCTATACTATTTTCCAAGGAGAAGTTGCTATGATAACAGAGTATGGAGCCTTTATCAGAA